AAAAATGTTTCAAAAACTGTTTCAGGCTAAATGAACATAAAGCGGGCCACCGCAGTGAGCCGCCCCCTTGTACCAACTCCTTGAGCCACCCACCGAACCACCTCCTTGAATTACCCCCCTGAACCACCGAACCACCTCCTTGAACCACCCACCGAACCACCTCCTTGAACCACCCACCGAACCAAACCGAATCGCCTGCAGTCCTGGCTTTGTTTCTGTTGCCAGCTTCCTCTGAAGCTGCATCCTCGTGGGCGCCATGAAAATAAAGCCAAATTAAAATTATATCCTTTTTCTCTCGGTGTGTGTGGGTGAATGTATGTGTGTGTGACTGTGTCTCAGTGTGTGTATTTGAGGGTAGGGGGTTGTCCTTTTGTATGCACAAAAGTCAACTAAGTCGTGCTCAATTTTTATGATGGCAAGACGATGCTGCCGTCGCCACTTTGTGTGCGGCGGTAAGCCAAGTTAGCAGAAGAGGTGGCGTGGTGGAGAGAGGGGGTGGTGGTGCAAATGAATGGCAGGCAGCCGCTTTATGAATGGCCACAAAAATCCACCCACCCACTCCAAAAACTCCCGCTGCTCCTCGCTGTCTAGCAGAGTTTTCACACACAAACACATACACAAAATAGGGGCAAAAGAAATAGCAAAAAGAAAAGAAATTAAATGCACTTCCTTTTATGCGCGGGCTTCTCATATTTTCCACCAGCCATCCCCCCCGGGTTTTCACCATTTTCCACCCCCCCGCGCCCACACAATGCGCTAATAATGGAAGTGCACTTTTGACACAAAAGGTGCAGTGGCGACAATGCCGGCTCCTGGTTTTTGGTCCTTTCTAGGATACCCCTACGCCTCCTTTTGTTGCCTCTATTGCTCATTCGCTGCAAGGGCGATTAGTCGGTGGGTGGTGGGCGGAAAATGGGGGAGAAGGGGTGGTGAAAGGCGGGGACAGGCGGCGAAAGCCGGTGCAAAGGGCGTGCATCTTTTGAGATTAGAACATTTTTTGTGGCATTGCTTTCACTTCATCGGGCGAGATTGCTTTTCCTATACATATATCTCCGTCTCCTTTTTGACATACACATATATATATATATATCCCGATCTCTTTCAGTCTGGCATATCCATTACTTTTGTGGGCTTAATGCCTTTATTGCCTCATAATTTTGAGTGGCCTTTACTGATAATGATGATTACGCTTAGCTGATTGAAAAGATTGAAAAGAGCTAGTGCAGAAAATAAATGGAAGGATTTACCAATATGTCAACAAATTCGCTGAGTCACCAGTTGATAGAGCTTTAAAGATGTTTGGGGCTAGAACTTCGGCTATTTGACAATGGACAACTTTTGACTTCAACATTTTCCAATATGCAACAACATAGATAAATCCGTTTAGTGTTATAAAATTTAATTTACAATCCACCAATTAGGTTGCTATAGTGAAATCAAAATAATTTAATATTTCTCTCAGCATAAAATATGTTCATACTGATAGTTTGAAATTAATTAACGCCAAATAGGAAAAAAGTTAATCAATCAAAAATATTTAAGAAATTTTAATACAAATCTTGAGTTTCAGCTCCAGGTGTTAATAAATAGTTATTACCAAATAAGCGGTTTTTAGGTATTTCACCCCAAAACACATGTCTAATCCCTGGCAAGGAATTAACTTTTTGAGTGATTCCATTATAAAATTAAAGTAACACACTTAGAAACGAACTGAACCGTTTCTCGAATTAACATTTTTTTCCGAAAGTGTTGCGTATACGTAATGTGGGTCTTTGGCATGGCTGCTCGGGGCTTTCTCGCCCCTCTTCACTTCTCGACCACTAAGTGCTGCATTTCCATTTCGATGGCAACAAAATCAAAGTGAAAACTGTTCTTATAACCAAATCAAACCGAATTGAATTGAATGGAAGCGAGACGAGACGCAGCAAGCAAAACAAACAAAACGAAATGTGCTGAAGACATTCAAGTGTCGGTGGCGTATGAGTGATTTACCTGGCCAGCCGACGACGAAGCAGGCCAAAAAAGGTTCCTTGGCTGCAGTGCAAATAAATCAAATAAATAATAAATGAAACGATACGAATCAAATGCGAAATAAAAATCAATGGCTCTCACCACTTCAATGACTTGGAATACACACATATATACATTTATTTATATGTATATACATACAAAATACTCAGCTCACACACTTACACACACACTTGGCACAAAAAAAAAACTTATATCCATGCAATTTGCTTTTCGGTTTGATTTCAAATAAAATGTTGCTTCATTGCATCGAATTGAGGCAGGAAAAATGAAATTGTCGGTAAAATACCCTGGGTGGAACGCCTCATTTTTTTTTGTGGGAGGTTGGGGTAGTAGGCGTGGCACACGGACACACATACTTGCAAGGAAAAAAAAGCCACTTGGACATGACTTTTAAACACGGAACCTCGGACTTTGGTCAATTGCAATTAGAAGTCAGTGAAGAAGAGCGCTGCTCTCCAAGAATTCCAATGGGCCTTCGCCTTCGCCAACCCCCTTTTCCCCCCGCAACCCCCTCTGCTCTCGCCTAATAAAAATGCAACTGGGCACATAAAACTCTGACCCAAATACTGTACATTATGTGTTTATGTCCGTTAGGAAAAATGGAAGAAAAAAAATAATTGGGACGGTGCTTGGGGGTAATAAAAGATGAGAGGGCGGAACAACAGTGGAAAAAGGGGGTGTGGCAGGGGAGAGAAATTGCAACACTTGAAAACTTGAAAATGTTTTCGAGAACTTGCGCTGGCACAAAAGTTAAAAGAGGCCAACTGCAGTATTCGGACCCTGAAAAGGGAGTTGAAAAGGGGTGAGGGGGAGGGGGGAGAGGCTGCACCTGAGGACGGGGGACAGAACTCCCCCTTTGGAAACCCCCGACTCTGCAGTAATTAGTGCAAACAATTGCGCTCGTTTCCGATATCCTTGGTAATTTTCCCGAAACCCCCCTTTCAGCCAACGCCCCTGTCTTTTAAGCCTCACTGCGGCATTTTCTTTCAAGGGACGTCTGCACATTCCATATATATATATTTATGTATAAGTATATAAAGAAACAGCAAGCAGGACCCCTGCTGCTTTTCATTTATTGAAAATATAAAGTATATTTTGTGTGCCCTTTGTCATAATAAATTGGCAAACTTGAAATCGGATATCGGTGCACCCCCGTCTATTCGGAGAAAGTGACAAAGAAAGTGGGTTGCCATAGTTTCTTCTCATTAAATGGAAATGTAAATGGAAATGAGATATGATTTGGGGTCGCGCAGCTGCGTCCCTGTTCAATAGACTTTTGCAGGGTTAAACACTGCCAGAGGACACTGCAAGGGCAACTGGCTCGGTTTGCATTTGGACCCGTGGTAGCACGACAATCGATTTTCAATATCGGGTCAAATGTTTTTTGATTTCCTACAGCTTTGTGCTTTTAATTTGGTTTCACTTTCATTGATTTTAAGTTGATCGTTTTGGCCTTGTTAGCCGTTAGATACATCTATCGAATATCGCTGAAAATCGCGATAAATATATCGAAATGAATTTTAAAATAGTTTTTTTCCCTAATAATAATTGTTTAGTTATTGCATGCACTTTGAATACGTTTACAAAGCGTTTGGTGGTGCTGAAATCGGTGGTTTAAGTTATCGATAGGCTATAGAATTAACTAATCGATTTGCTCTTATTTGTGTTTCAGAATTTCCTGAAACATGAACTAATGAAATAAGTACATAATTGTTAAAAACTACACTTTAGAAATAGAGAATACAAATTTTAAGGGTACTTTCTATCGATATTATTTAAGACTTATCGATAAATACGTTTTGCACTTGTTTTTTCCAACAATGTTGATTAATTTTGCTTCCCTTTCACGCTTAAGTATCCAGAGGAACCAATGCCGAATGCCTTCGATAACATTCACCCACCAATCGATAGCCCATCAATCGTTGCACTTTCCCCTTCCCCCGTTTGGTCGCAGCCTCCATTTAATACCGAAACCAACTTGAAATTCTGATGAACTCGCTGAGAAATGTTGAAGGATTCGATATATATTGGCATTCCAAAGTCGGGACTTGAATATCCCCCCTCATCCTTTGCATTTCCACCTCACATTCTCCCCCAGCCCCCCAAGCTGCGTGCCAAATGCCATTTGCACTTGCACCCCGGAAAAGTGGGATGTGGGGAAATCCACCCCCCCTCCTGCTCATCACCCCGCTCTTTTTTCCGTAGCTCATTGTTGGACATTCATTCGATTCATTCCACACACTCGAAGACACACACCCACACGCGCCAGTTCCAATAATTGAATTGCCCAAAGCCAGGCAAACACTTTGAGATTGTCCCGCAAAGAATTCCCCAGAAACACACATACAAAAGATATAGATACACTGCAGTTGCAGATACAAAGATCCAAATACAAAGATACAGATACAAATACAAATATACAAAGTAGAGAACGCATTCCTGGCGACAAAACTCTCAGAAACTCATCCCATCTCATTCTCCGTCTCGCTCGCTCGCTCTTTCCGTCTCTCTATCTCTCTCTCTCTCTCTCTTAATACATACACTCCTAGTTAAATACAAATACCTATACATATGCATACGAAACATAGCTATATTACAAATATATATATATATATATATATATTTTTATAAATATTTCCTCAAATTATTGCATAAGTTTTTTCGGTTTCTCCGTAGTGCCAAGTGCTGAGAAAACAATCGAGTCGCTTTTCAGTTTTCCCATTCCATCAATACAGACAATTGCTCAATGTTTTCTTCACCTTTTCAAAACGTATGATTTCAACCACAAAACTAAATTAGAAACCAACAGAAACGAAAATAAAAAAAAAAATAATGAAAGAAAAGCAAAAACTCGAACGCAAATATGCCAAGTAACTAACAGATATATTTTTGTCTTTTGCAAACCACCAATAACCAAAAACCCAAAAACAAACTTCGACTTGGAAACTTTGGATTGGAAAACCCCATAGTCGCGTATCGGTGATGCGGGGACAAGTGATCACACCCCAAGGACTGGGCATCGTCGGCATCCGGGTTTCCGTGGACCGTGACTCCCGATTTGGGTTCACCCTAACACGTCAAGGAGGATGGTGAGTACTATTCCTTTTCTATCTTTAGATCTAGAAAAAAGTAAAGCATCAAACGAGGTCAAAAAAGTATACCCGAAACATTTCATCAACTGTAAAAGGGATTTACCAAATTATATATTTTTTTAATGTTAAAGACCTTATTGAATGATTCAAAAAATTGTTTTGGTTTCTTAAAATTAATTATTTTATATAGTTTCTTATTCAGACTTACAAATAACTTCAATTGTTCGTTACCAAATTCAATATTTTTTTTAGATTTGTTTGTTTTTAATTATAGCATACAGAAATTTTTTATGTAATATAATCTTTAGTTTGGTTAGATAGATTTTTCATTTATAAGATATTTACACGATTTAATATTACACTTACACTTTGTCCTCGACTTAGTTGCCCCTTTCGATGCTCTACTGTACTCGTGTGTGCACACCGTATTTGGCAAATGCAAATTACTTACGTATGAGTTCCCCCATCGTGGGGGTAACTTTTTTCGTTGATTAAATTCCGCTGATGGAATCAGCCGATGGCCAAAAGCACTGTGCGCAGCCAGAAATAAAGACCAAGGGCAAGGAATTGGATAGAAGGTGGGGATGGGGATGCGCCAGCGAGGGCAAGTTATCAAATTTTTAATTAAATCTTTCGCTTTGATGTGCGGCCAACTTCTTGGGGCTGTCCTGTCCTCAAGTTTACACAAGTGGTTAGCATAATTAGAGCAGACAGGCCACAATTGGCCAGAAGCCGCAGGAGTGGCTCAGTGTCTCAGTGTCTCAGTGACTCAGTGGCGGTGGGGCGGGGAATAAAAGGGACATTAGTTTCAATTATTTGACATTTCATTCGGATTGCTTTTTAAGCACAAATGCTGAGAGAACTTTTGCTCTAATTGAGCCCATCAAAGATGCAAGGACAGAATATTTTCTCAACTGTAAAAGGATGGAAAATGCGGAGCGGAAAGGAGACGCCAGGCAATCCAATATATCTAATATAAATATTTTTGCAGTTGTTTTTCCTTCTGTAAAAAGGATTTCCGTTTGCTTCCATCAGCAACATTGTTTGCTGTCCTTGTTGTTTTGCCATTTTCTTTTCCCCATGTGTGTGTGTGTGTGTGTGTGTGTTGGCCAATTTAAATAAACATTTCGCACCCGACTCTGCATGATTTTATTATGGCCAAGCGGAGGAATACAAACAAAATCTGTGCAGCAGACAGACAAAACTCCGACTGTCTGATGATTATTTGTGTTTACTTTCCACACACAAACACACACACACACATGCACACACTCCGGCTTTGTTTATTTCAATCTCGCACACACTCGCACATTAGCCTAGACAAATATCCAGGTGTATAGCATACCTATGTGGGCCAGTGCTAAGACCGAAAAGGACGATTTCCACCCGACTGTGGCCATAATTTCTCATTAGGCCAATGGCCAAGTAAGCGATATGTTGCATGTTGCTGCCGTTTCAAATATGTCGCTGCAACTACTTTCCGCAAAAAAGGTCCTGACATAAATTCCTCACTCCTTATTTATGTATTTTTATTATGACAATTTTGCTGTTATTTATTTTGGCCCCTTTCTTCGCTTTGTGGGACTTTAAAGTTATTCCTCTCCCTGTGTGTCCTTGTTATTTTTTATGTCTCCGCTGGCCTCCTTATTCCTGCTGCTCCTGCCACTTGTGTACTGTGTGTGCTAGCTCGCAATAATTCCTGTTTATGCTCGCATTATTTTCGGCTTCTTATATACACTGCTGGGTAGAAATTTAGTGACGTTTTTTCACTCACTTTTCAATGGCCTTCCCCAAAACTTTATTGATTCGCCTGGGGCTTAATTTGGTTTTTAAAGCCACACACAGCAAAATTTGTGGGCATATTGATTTTTCATTTTATTGATAACGTTCTTACATTTTAATTTCTTAGAAACATTTTTTTTTCTGTGTACTTAAATAGGAGTTATATTCTTGAATTCATTTCGGTTTACTTGATGTCTTTTGCAGCTGAAGTTGCTGTTGGTAATGTTGCTGCTGTGCCCTGTTATGCGACCCAATAAGCAACAGTGTGTTGTTAGCGGATTCCCTGCCCCCATTTATACCCCCCCTCCCCCTTTCCACCACCCCTCGATTTTCCACATATGTGTATCCACTTACTTTTGGCCTCAGATTGTTGTAGCTGGTTCTTGGGTCTGTTGCAGGATTTTATGGTTTTGTATTTATAATGTTTATTTCAATTCTATGCTTTTATTAGCTACCCCACACACTCGCATTTGCGACTTTCCTTTGGACCGACTTTTCTTGTTGCTCCGGCGCCATTTGTTGTCCTGCTTAATTTTTTTTTTATTTTCCCGCTTCTTTTTGTACTTATTTTGTACTTATTTTTTTTTTTTGTTGCTGTGGTTCTGGCTGACATGCATTGTTGGTTGTTGTTGTCATAGTAATAAAGGTAATAAAAGTCATTATATTGTGCTGCAGGGGATTATTGTTGGCATTTTTTATTGCATAAGTATTATTAGAAGTCGCACACCCCCTCCCCCCCGCGCCATGCGAAACGTATGTCTGCTTGTGTGTGGGGTAGATGTTTTTTGGTTGTTGCCTCCGCTAAATGCTCTACACCCACGGAACCACCCCAAAACCACCCATTACCACCCACTGAACCACTCGCCACTCCTCGCATTTCTCTGGCCTTCCGCTCTGGTCATGCTCATAAAATTCAATTCAATTACAAATGAATGAATGCAGTGCCATGGCGGACTGTAGCTTTGCACAGCTGGGGTCAAAAAAATAGGAATGAATAGGTATTTAATGTTGCACCTTACAAGGAGTGACTTAATTACAAAAAATTATAATATATAATTAGACAGTACTATTAGGACTAAACAAGAGGTCAAAGTTAAATGAAATATTCAAGTTTAAATAACAGTGTCATGTATATTTTTTTAAAATTACATAGTATATATCATCTTTTTAATTTTCTTAGTCAAAAAGATGGGAATGTAATATCTAGACTATTATTTTGACCTCTGCTGTGTATGTCTGAATATGTGTAACTACTTTATGCATGCCATAAAAGCAATAAGGGCAACAACAGCAGAAAGCTATGGCGGCAAAACAGTAAAATTCAATTAGCAAAAATTGTAACAAATTTTACAAATTCCCTTATATATTTTTTGTTATTTCTTTTTTCCTTTTATTTTGTTACCACTTTGGTTTTAATGAAATGCATGCCCTTGTTTATGGGCAGCTTTGGTAGCTTTGTTTACGAGACAATTCAATTGAATGTTCTGTCATTTAATTCGGGGCGAAATATCAGGGCATTGAAAACTGAAAACTGAAAACCTTTACCAGATGCAGGCTATCTCGTTCGCCGCGCTATCTCTGTCGCACGCACCAAACACAATTAAAAATCGCATTAATTAAATATTTCAAAAGCAAAAGTTTTCGCCATTTCTTGAGTTTTCAGCGCGACTTGGCTTTGTACCTCCACTTCGTCGTTTTCCTGCTCCTGCTCCTGCATTTTCTTTTCCATTTTCCCCCCCAACTCTGTTGTTGTTATTTTTGTTGCTGTTGTGGCCCTTTGTTTTCCAACATCTTCGTCTTCTTGGCAGAAGTTTGTGCAACTTTTCCGTAGCTGCAATGCGAATTTTCTCTTGTAATAATGGCGGCGGCTCGCAATCGCCATCATTATATTTAATGCGGCTAACGCATGACAAGAGGTGGGGGGGGAGTTGGGTTGTTTGGTCTTAACTTATGCTCTATACCTTCTGCACCGCCCACCCAACAAGTCGGCATCTAAAGTTTTTCAATTTCCCACAAACAATTGAGGTATTATCTGGGGCTCCACCTTGGCATTAGGTTGCAGGGGGCCTTGGAAAAACAGAGGGGCGTACAAATTCGCTATTCCCTTCAAGTTCATTAAAATATTAATTTGCATGTTTGCCAGCAACTTTTGCACTAATTTCGTATTCCATTTCATATTTTGTGCCCTTCCTTCCTTTCGCAGGTTCGATGTGCTGGTGAATGGCGGCGGGGCGGTGACCTTGCAGTTCCAGCGCTCCCCCTTCCGACCTTTGACCCGCACCGTCTTTGTGCCCTGGAACCGGATCGTGGTGCTCCCGCCCGTGCAAATGCAGCTGAGCGACGACGACGAGACGACCAGCAGGAATATCAAGTGAGTTGCCCAGCCTTACACATCTGATAACAGCAAATCACCATAATCCCATCGCTTATAAGGATTTAAAAAGCAATGTCTTAGATCCTTATATACACTATTAACATAACTGCATATGAGTGTATAATTATATTTATTGCTACTTAATGCTAATGCACAAATATAAAATATATGTATCATCTTACTTTTATACACTTACGCTTGTAAGTTTGTAACCACCAACATTTTTCCAGTTACTTATCCAACTTTTTTATATTTTAAGCAAAACCATCAAATATTATGAAATTAAAAAAAATGTAAAGCCTTTTGAAACAGAATTTAAAAAGTTTCTACGATTTTAAAACTATATTTTATAACATGAAGACATTTATAGTCAATTTATACTCTTGCTATATAAATATGTATGCAGTTATTGAACTATAATTGAAGCCGAATACATTATAATTGATTTTTACATATAGACATATTTGTTTGGACTAATATATATAATACTAATTACTATGTGTTTCTCCTTTCTCCAGGGTGGCTCCGCTGAATCCCGCCCTGACGTTCCTGAACTCGATCCACTACCACACGGCCGACGAGGCCAACGACGCCAGCAAGGTGTGCATGGACCACGATCACGAGAAGCTGCGACCCCAGCTGATCAGCACCTGGATGCCAAACGGAGTGGGCGCCATGCCTGGCAAGCGGGTCATCTTCGCTGAAACTCAGGTGGGTGGGTGGACTCGTGGCCACCGCCAGGTCCTCTCATTTAGCATTCATCAACCCCCGGTCCCTAATGCCATTCCTAATTAGCAGTCCTGGCAGCAGCTGCTGGACGCAGCGCAGTTTTAATTAATTTAAAGTTTGCCTTAATGACATTATAACTTTGCATCTACCCGGAGGACGGGGGAGGAGCAAAAGGGGCCAAAAGGGCCAGCGAGGTAGAGATTAATTCTGCCAGAGAAGCGAGAAACCACCTCACAGCCCCCCTTCCCCTCCCCCACGAAGGTCTGGCCCTCGCTGGATTCGTAATGCGTTTAATTGCAGCACTCGAACCTGTCCAGCTGCGGTCACCAGCAGACACTTGGTTGGCCATTCCTTCTGTCTTTTTTCCTATTTCCTTTACCAACCCCCCCACTTTCCCTTCTCTGGGCCAGAGAGAGCTCTAGGAGACATTATCCCGGGACCAGTTAAAGTTTTCCCGGGTTAACAGTCACCAAAGGCAGATGATTGGCATGGTCAAAAAACAAGATAATAGTACTCATACATTTGACGACCAATCAAATTGTATTTCATTTAATTCTGTTAATTAACAGATATGCATTACCTTCAGATTTTAAGTTAAAGTTGAAAGCAAATTTGTATTCCATTCTAAAAACATTTAAAACTAAGCTGTTAATGCGATTTGAATTTATCGTTTAAGAACCTTAGAACGCAAATAAACTTCAAATACTTCGATATTTTACTGTAATGGAAATTTGGAAAAGTATTTAAGTTTTGGCAGCTATTTATATACTCCGGTAATCTGAAAGTTATATACTTCTTATGCTACCCTAACCCAAGTTTGATTTAAATAAAACCAATATATAATTACAATTCATAGTATAATATTCCGAAGCAAACCAACTTTGCCTACCAGCCAACATTATATCAAACAATTGATAAATCCACCACTTATATTACCTCTACCCTCAGTATACCGGGATATATTGATATTAGCAAAGTCGTAACCCTCTGATTTTATTTATCCCCCACAGATCGTCCAAGAATCCATCCAGATCCCGGGCTCGGATCTCCACCTGACCTACCAATCCTCCCAGGCGAGTGGATACCTGAGCATCGTGCGCATGCGCCTCACCGGCGAGACGATTCCGCCCACTCTGACCCACGTGCATGTGGGCGTGGAAATCGAGGGCGCCCTGCATGTGAAGACCTACGAGGCGGATCCCAGTTTGGTGCACACCTTCGCGTGGAACAAACGCAATGTGTACCGCCAGAAGGTTTACGGAGTGACTGTGGCCCGGATTTCGGTGGGCTACCAGCATAGCACCTGCCAATCGCCCGTTTGGATTGCCCAGACGGCCAAGCTGCAGGGCTACGATGTGGATATATCCGATATCGGGGGATGGGGCTTGGACATCCATCACCACTACAACTTCCACGAGGGCATACTGCAGAAGGGCGACGGCAGCACGCTGCACATGAAGGAGTACCCGCGAACGGTCAAGGTGGTGATGGGCACTGGCCTGCAGCGACCTCTGACCTGTCCGGACTACTGCAATGGTGTGGCCAAGGACGCCAAGCTCCTCACCCCGATCGCCCTGGCCACCGGACCCGATGGCAGTCTCTACGTGGGCGACTTCAATCTGGTGCGACGCATCACGCCCGACGGCAAGGTGTTCACCATTCTGCAACTGAGTGCCACGCAGGTGTCGTATCAGTACTACCTGGCCGTTTCGCCGGCCGATGGACATCTGTACATCTCCGATCCGGAGAGACACCAGATCCTGCGACTGCTGCGACTGGAGAAGGTGAAGGACCCGAGCATCAACAGTGATCCCGTGGTGGGCAGCGGTCAGCGCTGCATTCCCGGCGACGAGGGCAACTGCGGCGATGGTGGACCAGCGCTGCTGGCTCGACTTTCGCATCCCAAGGGTCTGGCCATTGCAGCCGATCGCACCATGTACATTGCGGACGGCACCAACATCCGAGCCGTGGACCCCAAGGGCGTGATCCACACCCTGATCGGACACCATGGACACCACAACCACTGGAGTCCGGCTCCGTGCAGCGGCACCCTGATGGCCAATCAGGCGCAGTTGCAGTGGCCCACCGGCTTGGCCCTCAGTCCCTTGGACGGCTCGCTGCACTTCATCGACGACCGTCTGGTGCTGCGACTCACCTCGGACATGAAGATCCGCGTGGTGGCCGGCACACCGCTGCACTGCAGCAATGGCGGGCAGGACGGCAGGGTCAACAAGACGGGAACGGACAATGTTCTGGGCACCGTTCTGGCCATGGCCTTCTCGCCCTTCGGCAATCTCTACATTGCGGACAGCGATTCGAGGCGGGTCAATTCCATACGCGTGGTGGACACGGCCGGAAATATGCGTTACTTTGCCGGAAAACAGGAGGGCACGGGGTGAGTAGACTGCCTTTGGGGATTTATAAACTGTATATCAACTATTAACCTTGTCCGTTTGTCCGTTTATGAGAACATGCTCGTTAGTTAAGAGTCGGGAAAATCACGTTTGGTATACAGGATTTTGTAGTTGTCGCCAAAATTATGTGAAATTTAAATTACTTAAACTACTATATTTTAGTTTAATTTTAAATCAAACCTTTCGGTTTGTATGTTAATGAAAGTTAGTTGTTATATCTTTAGAACTGAGGAACTGGAGGCCAAATTTAATCTGAGATAAATGCATTTAAATTAACATCAAAAAAAAACTTTCGTTTAATAAATTTAGTATTAATTTTTTTATTTCTAACAACGCAAATTGCACTGATTACAAGCATTAATTATTTTAATCATGTTTGCTGCCATGATTTTTAAGACATAAATTGTGGGTCATTGTTTATTTAACATTAGCAGGGACCATAAATTATTTTCCTTTAGTTTGTATTCTGATTCTAATATATGAATGTTGTTCCAAAGTTGAATAACCAATATTTCATACAATATTTGAGGGAGCTTAGTTGGAATGTCATAAATCAAAGGACACCCTTTTCACTGTCATTGAGGGTCTGTTGTACCAATGTGGTGCCATATTTGGTCTTCACCGAGTTATCAAAGTGCATAGAAAATAAATAATTCCCAGCAGTTGGCATAGGCCCCCTAAATGTAGTCGGAATACCCGACTATTGCATTCTTAGTTGTTTTATGACCTCAAATATTGACTGGCTACTGGGTCAATATAACAGGGAATTTGGTCAGCAGGCCGCTGGCCAAAAACCGAATGGAACGTGGCGGAAAATGGGTAGGAAAATCATTGGGAAAACAGTGGGAAAGAGGGTGGAGTGGGCGGGGAGATTGACTCCACTCCACTCGCACTTGTTTATGCGCATACTTGACCCAATTAAGTGAGCTCCGGGCTATTTGCATATTGCCGAACGATATCAGGCAATTTTTCAAAATGTCTACCAAACGACACACGGGACAAAACGCACAGGACGAGCGAGCGGGAAGGAGAAAGGAGAGAGGAGAAAGGATGCCGTAGAGTGGGGCATAAATAATAAAAATTCAGCAAGAGCAGCACAAAATTGCCAATGCACCAAAATGGCCATAAATGTCAGGCCAACTAGGCAATTCCCCTTAGAGTTCTTCGTCTTTCTCTCTCCCTCTCTCTCTCTCTCTATATATATATATATATATAGATGTACCTCTCCTTTTCGCTTTTTCCATTCGGTGCCATGTTAACTTTATTTGACTTTATTAACCCATTTTGAAGGCATCGATAACGGTGACCAGAAATTAATTGGAACTCTCACATTGGGGAAATTTCATTGTCTGATTTTTCATGGCCCCAGCACACGCACACATGTATGTGTGTATAAATGTATATTTGTACGTGTATTTGTGTTCCAAAGGCACTAAAGCCATTTGCATTTTGTGCATTGATTAAAACGGGGTAGAAAACGGAAACGGAAACTGCAGTCAATGAACTTAAATTCCTGACGCAAACGGAATAATTGTAAGCCATGCAAAGAATGGGCCATGCATTTCAGTGTTGCTAAGTGCAAAAGTTTAGTTCTGCATAGCAAGCTAGTAAATATGCCAGTGTTGGTCAGCGAAACTTCAGTATTAAAGGTTATTTATGAGAATTAATATGTTCTATAGCAGTGATGAACCAGAAACCGTAACTAAGAAATATGTGAAATAATTGTGAAAAAAACAAAATGGATGAAAAAAACCGGTGTGGCTTAATTATATTTAGTGTTGGTAATTGAACAACGATTCAAATTCTTTACTCAATTGTGTTAAATGGACTTGAATTAGTACAACTTTTAAGTGATAACCATAAAATGCCATAGAAACTGTAGTGCTAAAACATGAACATATATGACTACCTTTCATTTACATCACAAACTGTACACTAAACCAATTAATTTGGTTTTGTTGAGTGACGCCAAAAACATACCCCAAAACCCATGGATATTCTGCAATTTTAGGGGCATGGGAATATTGTGCAACTTTATCCCAACTGAATATTCTCGGGGTCGCAGTTGATTTAAGCAGCTACAATTCCGGTTGGTGGCCTTGGGGCGGGGGGTCATGTGAATGGCTTCAGGTGGCGAGGGGGTTAAGGGGTAGATAGGCGGCGAGGGGGCGGTCGATTGAAGTGGGCGTGGCCGGCAGACGTGGCAAAGTAATTAGCGGCCGTCGCGCCACAGACAGAAACTATAAATCAACTTTTCACGCTTTTTCTTCCCCCGGCGTCTTTTGTGCGGAGCTATATCTTTCGAGAGCCAGCAAAGGGGGCTAAGGGTTAAGGGTTAAGGTTTAAGCGGGAGGGGGCTGAGGGCGGAAAGGTGGAGAGGGGGGGCGGTCTGTGTCCGTGTCTGTTGCGTGGGCGTGGCAGCGATAAGCGGCGCCCGGAGCTCGCTTTACTTTAGACTGTTTATCGAACAAACAATGTCATCATAAATATGCGTCCCGAGCAGCCAGCAAAAAAGGGGAAATCCTGGAGAAAGCCTGGAGAAAGGGTGCGGCTAGAGATAGGAAAAATACGGAAATAAGGAGTGGGTTGATTGCTCTCGACCCTTCGTACCTAATAACAATGAGGCATATCTGAAGCCCACCAGACGTTGGCCAGAAGAACACTTTCATTCGCTTAAATTAGCATAGGTAATACACATAGCTATTTGAGTTTTTATGATTTACAGTCAATAACCTTATCATTTTTTTTTAAACAATTTTAATGCATTTGTGGTTTATTTGTTAGTATATTTAGAATAAACTATCACTTCTTTGGTTTTCTGACAAAATAATAATTTTTCATTCATTGAAATTTGATTAGAGCAAATTTATGTCATGATGGATTTCAACTTGAACATTTAAAATACTGTCAAATATATTTAATCTTGACTTAATTTTAATATTTCATTATTATCTTTATTAATGAATTTAATGGGGACTTTAAACATAGTAATATAAAGAAGGAAAACATGTTTCCAGAAAATTTCCATCTAAAAATAAAGGCTGCCAATTGCTCTTACATTACAAACAGTACTTGGAAAACCGAGGGTTAATTACGATATTTTCGCCGCACAACTAATTCGCTTTTCCTTTGACTTTTCCCCCAGATCCCAGACGTGTGACTGTGCGATTGGGGGCGGCGGCAATGGCAGCGCTGCCTCGGCGGGAGTGGGCGGGGCCAGCGGCGGCGCCTACTCGACGACCGTTAACCCCACGCGGCCGAATGGCGGCACCACGCCCACCACCCCGTCGGGCGGAAACGGAAGCGGAAATGGCAACGGCTCGTCGACGACCTCGGGCGGCGGTGGCTCCTCCGGCGGTGGCGGTGGTGCGAACGGCGGCGGCGCCTGCATCTGTGCCGGCGGCATCGCCCTCTCCACCGGATCTGGATCGAACTCCGGCTCCGGAAACGGGGGCGGCGGCGGCGGCGGGGGCACCCTGGCCAGCATCGTGGGCGGCGGCGGACTGATGTCCACCGGACCCACCACCACCACCACCGTGCTGCTGGGCGCCAAGACCACGGCGGCGGGCATCGGCGGTGGAGCGGCCACCTTGAACGACGACGGAACGCTCAGCAATGCGGAGACGCTGCTCTCCTCGAACGCCCGATTCCAGGCCATTTCCGCCATCGCGGTGGCCCAGGACGGCGTAATCAATGTGGCGGATCAAGGTGAGTCTCCTCCAATCATAGATATTCCTTCAATTAGTAGTGGTTTCCCCTCGAAAAATCTCCGTAAAATATATTCTAGCCATCTACATTTTATGACTTGAACTCATACTTAATGCTGAGCTGTGGTTCCTTAATACAATTTCTTGGCTTACAATTTGAGACAAAATAATCTTTTTGTTTTGTTTAAGAATTATACAAATTAAGTCCAAATTCTTAATAATTCGTTTAACCCATAAGAATTAGATTGAAAGCCTGAAAATGGAAACTTAATGTGATTAGTTTATTTTTATAACTTTTAGTTCGTTTTATAAGGACACCAAAAACCTCAACTAAAGTAATATGCTTTATATAGTGTCTTAAGTAGACGTTTCAAATAGTACTTGGGATACACTTTTCAGCATAAATCATATGCATTCTATGATTTTCAAGAGTTCTTTATACGCGTACCCCAAGTCATATTGCTTTTCCAGTGTCCTGGCAATTGTCATCTGATACAGCAAAATTTGTCATCTTCCTTCGTTGTGATTTCCCACATGTGTGTGTGGGCCAGGCAATTTGCTTTTGTAATGCACACACACACACACACTCACACACACATACAAGAGCATGGAAAATGGAACATTTCCTTTGGCAAATTTTCTTTAACTCGCACTTCTATTTTTCTTTGGCCACGTTGTTGTGTTAACAAGAGGCGAAGGGAACAAAAAATAGAAAATGTTAACTGCTGGCTGGGAAAGTATAAGAAGAAAAAAAGTATGGAAAACCGGAAGTTGAATTTCGACATATTGCAAAACACAACCACAGCAAATACAATAATAATAATGACAGCAACAACAGCAACGGAAATGGCAACAAAACTTGAACAATGAACAAGCTGTGGAGGAACACGCAATTGTTGTTGTAATTGGCCATTATGGCGAAGGATCTGGGGGCTGGAAAAGTGGTCGGAAAAGTGGGTGGGGCAGGTGGAGGGGAAAGGAAAAGGAAAAGAGCGAAACCAATTTCCGTTACAATTCGAACGAGGACAAATTAGGACCTACTCACACACACACACACCACACAACCCACGCACACATTCTCTCAGGTAGCTGAAGAATCACAAAACAAAATGGCCGCCAATAAATTTGGTGAAAAGGCAGGAAAAGCGGAGGGAAATTGGGCAAAAGGCAGGGAAAAAAATATTTTAAAATCATAATTCTGGAAAAAAAATGTATGTTATATTCAAAAGAAATCAATTAAATGGTTGGGTATTAAACAGTTTTTGTTATCAAAGCAAATGGAGATTTTTATTTTATACCAAATTACGAATATACATATATAAACGTGAATCAGGATAATTTCATGATATAAGCCTCCACAGTGTTTTTCTCAGTGTAAAACTAGAGTGTCCCTTGTAAAAGCAAAAGCTCAAAAAAGCAGGGAAGGTATAAATTTGAGTGCATTAGCAGGGCGTAATTTGATAAGACCAAAAACGTAATTAATAAATTTCCACGGAAGCTATGGAGACGACTCCCCAAACGATGGACAAAAGGGTGGATTTCTGGGTGGTTTTCCTTTTTTTTTGGGCGGATCATCAGCCGTCGTTGAAGAAGCCGGAGAACTCGGCGCGGAAATTAATGAAAAGGCCGGGCGAGAGTTGAAGCCGTGGAAAGCAAATCAATGGCCATAATTAATCAAGTTTTAGTCTGCGATGGTGGTGGTGCACACGTGTGAGTGATTGCTGTGTGAGTGTGAAAAGCGAAAAAGTGAAAATCAATCTTATTACCTACGCGGCATTGAATTGGCAAAACTTTTTCCCCACCCACCCAAAAAAACGGGAAGGCCCAACTCCCCTCACAACATTAATCAGGGATATATGTGTGTGTGTGTGTGTGTGTGGGTGGGTGGGTGTATCTGTGTGTATCTGTGTAAGCAGACAAGACACATACAAATGTAGCTGCTGGCCAAGGAAACGTAAATAAGCTTCATTAGCAGCTCGCAAGCTTAAGTGGCCTTTTCCCGACGCGAGTGTGTGAAAAATTATTGCATTAATTGCTCTGCCAGGAAAAGAAGGACGAGCTAAAAATAAAATAAAATATATATCGATGGCATCGGAGAGTGACAGGATAAATGAGAAAGAAGTGGAACAGCAAAAGCAGTATTAATTTACAAACAAACGTAAAATAAAACTAGTTTCAACGGATAGAAAAATGCATAAAAAAGTAAATGGTAAAAAGGAAATTTAAGAATGTGTGATATGTATAAACCAGTACTTGAATTCTGTATTCACATATCTTCACAATAAAGCTAGACTTTGGGAATCTACATTTTTTTCTTTGTGCCTACTCCAATATCTTGCTTATAAGGCTATACTCCATTTACATCGACAAATCGCGTGGTTAAGGGGACTCCCCATTGCACCCCAATACATTCCTGCCCATCCTCAATTCCCATCGATATCAATTTCGCCAGCGATTTGGACATATGCCAGCTGGCCATGACGACTGTTTAACGCTCAGGACAATTGCAGGACACCCCGGGATCTATGTGTGTGGGTGTGTGGGTGTGTGTGTGGGTGTGTGTGTGGGTGTGTGTACATGTATGGATGGATTGAGGAGGGGGATTGGAGCAACGAACATTCGGCGACACAATGGCAACAACCCTTTGCACTGGGCACAAACAAGTTGTTCAGTTTATGGGGTCATTACCATTACATTACAGCTCGCCCACACACACACACCCACACATAGATATTCAGCGGGGTGCGGGGGAGGGGGCGGTAACCTCCAGCTGAGCGTCACACATTTATTGCATTGAAATTCGCTCAATCGCTGGTCTGGCGCTTTGCCAATACGAATGCCAATGCCCCAGCTACAGCTAGAATTTCCAAATGTCTGCACTGCTAAAAAAAAAGTCCATTCGTTCATCCGTAAATTATGTGTTTCCTACAACAAAATATATATTTTTATATTTCATACACCAATATATGATTTCATAAAACCAAATCATTTTGAAATTCATTTTAAATAAATCTTAGATATCAGAAGTATCATTTTAGTAAAATAAATAATAAATTTAGTAAATGTCTTCAGTAAATTAGAATTTTGTATAGTATTTCTAACTTACTTTTACAAATTTTGAGAGAGGAAAGGCAAAATGGTGTTGTGTTTTGTTTTCTGTGCAATCAACGCAAACCCAAAACCAAAATGCTCCTCTAAAATGAGACCATAATGGCTTACGCTCCAACTGCAGAAGGTCAAAAGAGGGGGGCTTGGAGTAGTGGGTGGTCGGTCATGTGTCTCCTGGATCCTGAATCCTGAATCCTGGATCCTGGCTGCTGTTTGGGTCCTCGGGTAAATGAACTGTAACGCAATCAAATCAACACTGCCCCCACCGCAATAAGAATAACCCACAATGTATTTAATATTTTTATTGTGATATGTGCAAATGGCAACTGGCAACTGGCACATAATTCGCAATCAGCGGTGAATTGTTGCATAAAATAATTGTGTGGAATTGATGTTTATGGTCGGTCTAGGAATAGGGTAGTTTTTGCAAAGTCTTTTCGGTCTGTAATGCTTATTTAACAGTCGACTTAATATTGCTAAACTTGAGCTGTCGCTTTAAGTTTGAATCTATTAGAATTAAACATGTTTTACAATACCTTTCGAAAGTATTAGTGACTCCAAGATAAAATCAAATAAATATTGTTATTTATACTTTTTGGATAGTTTACGGCAAATCATATGAGTCCAGGTTTAATTTGTTTGAAAGGGTAATTTAGTTTTTACATTTTAAACACCAATTGTAGATGTTCCTGTTATCTGAAGTAAAATATCGTAGCGCACTTTTTGGGGCTGAATGACCGAGTTTTGTGGCATTCATAGATAAATGTACTTGTGTGCAATGATGTAAAGTTAATGTCTTTCAAAGCCCCCTTCCCTTTCCTTCACCCAACCCCCCCTCGCCACTTAGTTTCTTATACAAAACGCTGTCATCATCGTCTTTTGTTGTTGTCTGTTTGCAATGCAAAGCCTCAAGAAAAAGGGGGAAGGGGTGGGGATGGGGCTTGAGAAGTGTTGAAATAAAATGGGTGATGAAGGGGGCGGCGGGATGATAGGGGATGTGAGGCGGAAAGCAAGCAAATTTATGCAAATCTAAAGCGATTTTCAACACTAACTAAAATGAAACGCTTCACAGGGGCAACACCAACAAAAAGGGGGCGTGGTCGAATGGGTGGAGGTGAGAGGGGGGGTTGGGGGAGAGTAGTAGCAAATTGCACAAAAATACTTAAGACACTCGCTCACAGATAGAACATACCTACGCCATTTTGTATTTGTGCATTTGCAGTGATTTAAAACTTAAAAATGGGGGGTGGGATAGTGGGTGGAAAATGCAGAAAAACCCAGTGAATGGGGAAGGGGAGTGGTGGGGGGTAATATGCAGAACAGTAAAAACAAACAGCTGCAGGAACTTGGCGTTTAGCTTAAGCAAATGATCAACAAACCGAAGGAGAAGCGGACTTGGAAGGGGGGGAACAGGGACGAAGGGGGAGGGGGAGGGCTAAGGAAGTGCGAATAAATTTGATGACCAGTTAAAAGGAATTGTCCAAGGAGCTGGGAATGAATAAATGAGTCAATTATCTGGCAAGGACAACGAGTGTGCGACTTTTTTACGACGCCCAGAGCGTTGGCAAAAAGGTAATCAAATGCCGAGCAGATGCTCGTCGCAAAAAGAAAGTAACAGCTTTTCTTGCCACCCAATAGGTAGTAAATAAAGTTGATAAGCCACGCTTGTATGCTGCACCCTATCAGGGTGTAAAAAAGTTACATTTTACTTCGGCACTTAGTGTTCCCTTTACTCGGCAGACATTAAAAATGAGCTGGTTTGTTGAAACTATCAAATGGATAACTCTTCTTCCCCCCCATTAATTCGAGAGATATTAAAGGTGATTGGAGTTGATTTGAAAACAAAATGAGCCATCAGCCCAGTCTTTTATAATCAGTCTTATTTGGCACATTTGTAAAAGCTTTTTAGCAGTCAGTAACCTTTACAGTTGAAAACAAATATGTATCTATATTTAAAGCTAGAAATCTACTGAACTTTGAAGAGCAATACAAATATAGCTCTTATTTAGTGCAATTTTTAATAATTCTTTTGATTTGTATGTGTAAAATCTAAATCGAACCCATCTTTCCTTGTACTTTTCACAGGATCTCTGCACGTTTTGGCCTTGGAGCACTATCTGCCCTCGCACGACGAGAACGGGGAGTTCCACATCCCCTTCCCGCCCTCCAGCGAGATCTACGTGTTCAACCGATACGGGCAGCACGTGGCCACCAAGGACCTGACCTCGGGAAAGACCCGCTACAGCTTCCTCTACTCGAAGAACACCAGCTTCGGCCGCCTGTCCACGGTGACAGATGCCTCCGGCAACAAGATCCAGTTCCTGCGGGACTACAGCAATGTGGTGAGCTCGATCGAGAACACACAGGACCACAAGTCGGAGATCCAGATCAACGGCATCGGCATAATGACCAAGCTGAGCGAGAAGGGTCGCCAGGAGATCGAGCTGGACTACGATAGCAACACGGGGCTGCTGAACTCACGCTCCTCGGGCGGTGAGACCTACATCTACCAGTACGACGAGTTTGGCCGGGTGACCGGCATGATCCTGCCCAGCGGCGAGATCGTTCGCATCACCTCCCAGCTGGCGGATAGCCAGGGACTGACTGTGTATGTGCACGCCTCCGTGGAGTCGCTGTTCTCGCGGGAGCGAATTGCCGGCGAGGCTAACGAGCTGCTGGTGCTGGGCGGAGTGCGATCCACGTTCCTGAAGCGCGGACAAGCCCATGCGGACGCGGAACTGAAGGCGAACAACACCCTGGTGATCCACGGCGACAACGGGGTGGTGGTGGAGGCCTCGGCCGTGGCCAGACATCCCCTGCTGGAGGCCGCCCTGCCCGTGGAGGCGGAAATGCTGGCCATGTGGTCGCACCAGAGCGTCACCATGGGCGAGGGACTGACCAACTCGATGTACTCGGTGTATAGCCTGGTCGGCGATGTAAGGAATCCCCAGCAGACGCTCAACCGCGAGATCTGGGTGAACCAGTCGCGGGTGATTGGCGTGGAGTTCGATCAGTTCACCAACCGGGAGACCTTCTACGACGCCCGACGCACCCCCATCCTGATTGTGGCCTACGACCAGTCGGGCCTGCCCAAGTCCTACTATCCCACGAACGGCTATCCGGTGAACATCACCTACGACCGGTTCAACCGCGTGGAGGGCTGGGCCTGGGGACCCGCCGAGCTGAAGTACAGCTACGACCGCCACGGCCTGCTCTCGGAGATCACCTCGCAGCAGGACGGGATTGTGTCCTTCGTGTACAACGACTGGAATCTGGTCTCCGAGATCGGCTTGGCCAGCCAGCGGAAGTTCGTGCTGCAATACGACGATGCCGGCGGTCTGAGGCACGTCGTCCTGCCCTCGGGCACGCGGCACAGCTTCAGCATGCAGACCTCCATCGGGTTCATCCGATGCACCTACACGCCGCCGGGCAGCACGCGGGCCTACCTGCAGCATTACAGTCACGCGGGCGCTCTGCTCCAGACCATTCTGCCCGGCGATGGAGCCCGCATCGTGTATCGCTACAATGCGGCCGGCCAGCTGACCGAGGTGGTGCACGGCGACGGGCGCAGTGAGTTCCAGTACAACGAGGCCACCGGCATGCCCAGCACGGTCTCGCACACGGAACGGGAGCTGGAGTACCGCTGGGACTTCGAGTACGCCGCCGGGCTGCTGGCCGAGGAGCGGATCGACTATGTGGCCAAGACGGGCCTGAGCAACGCCAAGTTTAGCTACGAGTACGACTCCCAGCTGCGGGTGGTGGCGCTGCAGGGCCGGATCGGTGGCCAGAGTCTGCCGTCGCAGGCCTTCGCCTACGACCAGCGGACGGGGCGACCCAGCCTGATCGGGCAGTTCCGGTTCTCTCAGCCTGCCCAGAATCAGACCCAGCTGCACGACGGCACCGCCAGCTTCACGAGGACCGTGGACGGGCGCTTCCAGACGCAGCGCATGGCCCTGGCCATCCACCGGCTGGAGGTGTTCCGCATGGAGTTCTCCTACGGCGTCCACGGCCGCATCTCGCAGACGCGCACCTACACGCGGAACATGGCGGTGAACAGCTACACGAACGTGAAGAACTACACCTGGGACTGCGACGGGCAGCTGGTGGGCGTGGAGGCGCAGGAGCCGTGGGGATTCCGGTACGACGACAATGGCAACCTGCTGTCGCTCACGTATCGTGGCAACACGATACCCATGGAGTACAATGCCCAGGACAGGATCGTGAAGTTCGGCGAGGGGCAGTACAAGTACGATGCGCGGGGCCTGGTGGCGCAGAATGCGCGCGAGGAGCGGTTCCACTACAACACCCAGGGGCTACTCGTGCGAGCCTCGAAACGGGGTCGCTTCGACGTGCGCTACTACTACGACCATCTGAAGCGGCTGACCACGCGCAAGGACAACTTCGGCAATGTGACGCAGTTCTTCTACACGAACCAACAGCGGCCGTACGAGGTCAGCCAGATCTACTCGCCGCGGGATGGCAAGCTGATGTCGCTGACCTACGACGACGTGGGCCACCTGATCTACGCGCAGGTGTACCGCCACAAGTACTACGTGGCCACGGACCAGAGCGGCACGCCCCTGATGCTCTTCAACCAGTACGGCGAGGGCATCCGCGAGATCATGCGGTCGCCTTTCGGCCACATTGTCTACGACTCGAACCCCTATCTGTATCTGCCCATCGACTTCTGCGGCGGCATCCTCGACCAGGTGACCACGCTGGTGCACATGGGCGATGGAAGGGTGTACGACCCCCTGATTGGCCAGTGGATGTCGCCGGACTGGCAGCGCGTGGCCGAGCGAATCATCACGCCCACGCGGCTGCATTTGTACCGCTTCAATGGCAACGATCCGATCAACGTCGGCCACGAGCGACACTATCCGGAGGACTTTGCCGCCTGGATGCGAACGCTGGGCTACAATGTGGGCAACCTGGTGCCCCAGCTGGCCCGCGATCTCTGGCAGCCACCGGCGCTGTGGGGCCGACCGCCGGCCAATCCGGTGGCCCTCAATCTGCGGCGACCCTTCGACAACATACCCACCATGGCGGTGGAGAGCGGCTTCCTCGCCCACCTCAACGTGCGCCGGATGTCCGACTTCGAGCAGCTCTCGGCCCCGCCCCGTTCCGCCTTAAAGTGCGACGTGATGGACCCCTCGCCGAAGACCATTGGATCGGACACGGAGCCGCCGTTTGGCAAGGGCATCGTCGTCTCCCGCACCGCCGACGGCCAGGCCATTGTGTCCAGTGTGCCGGCGGCCAATGCCATTTACCGCGATGTCTACACGAGCGTGTTCAATCGCTCCAAGCTGCTGCCCTTCACCTTCGTGGTGCACAATGCCCAGCAGGACTCGTTCTTCTTCGTGAAGGAGGACGCCTGGCGGGCCACCGAAGACCGTCAGCAGTTGAAGCGTCTGCAGGGCCAAGTGAACACCACCTTCCATGAGATAACGCGCGAGGCGACGGTGGGCGTGGGTGGTGGTGGTGGTGGAGCAGGAGCGTCGTCGACCGGCAGCAGTGCGGTCTCATCCTCGTCCAGTTCCAGCTCGTCGGCGAACACGGGCAACTATCTGGATGTGAAGATCCATGGGGCGCACGCCATCATCAATCTGCGCTACGGCACCACCGTGGCCAAGGAGCAGCAGCGACTGATGCACCACGCCAAGCTGACGGCGGTGCGGAAGGCGTGGCACCGCGAAAAGGAGGCGCTGCGCAGCGGACTGACCACCGCCCTCGAGTGGAGCCAGCAGGAGACCGAGGAGATCCTCAAGCAGAGCTATGCCAACAACTACGAGGGTGAGTACATCCACGACGTGAACCTCTATCCGGAGCTGGCGGAGGATCCCTACAACATCAAGTTTGTGAAGAAGAAGGGCGCCACCGGCGGAGCGGCGGGGGTTCCCAATTCGCGACGACGCCGCCGCCGATCCACCGATCCTGCCCAGGAGAAGGCGGAGGAGGAGGAGGTCGACTGTTAGCTCAATGGAGGACCAGGAGCAGGAGCAGTCGGACAAGTCGGAGGAAACCCCAAAAAACCAGCCACTGAAACGCATGGAGCGCCGTAAAACCGAAGAACAGGAGACATAATTATTTATATTTCTACATATATATATATAAATATATATATATAGAGTACGTAAATCTATGTTATCGAACCAGTTTTTTGATGTCAAGGAACATTATATATATACACGTAAACATAACATATTTTTTTTTTATTGTTAGCCACTAGAGAAAAGTAACAAAAACTAAATGAAAATTAAGAAATTAAGAAAGCGACATGCCAACATAATCCCATGTAGCTGCATGTACGTTTATATGTGTGTGTGTGTGACGTCAGCTAAGCCGCAGATACAGATACAGATACAGCCACGGATATAGACGCAGTTATAGATATACAGATATATATATATATATATAAAGGATAGCATAGTGTAGTAGTCATACGAGCATAAAGCGTACCATACATACAAGACATATGTACATGCATACTCACCACAATAAGGGGAGAAAAAGGAAAATTATGGGGGGCGGGAAATTCATTATTGGGGGCGTATCTTTTTGTTCGTGGTACTCGAGCTTTTTGAGACTGGCATAGTTTTAAACAATACAAAATAAACGGCGACCGACCGACGGACCCTCAAGAGCTGATCCCGCAGATCTTCGCCTGCGACACAATTCTGGCCATCAAATGTACATACGAAAAAGGATGGTGATGGTAGTGGTAAAGTGGTAACGTGGGAGAAGCGGAAACGGAAGTGGACATTTAGGGGACAGCCCAGACCAAAACAAACACACACACACACGCAAACCGACGGACTAACTACACTAGGCAACCGGTTTGGGGTTGTGGGAGATTTTTGCTTAGCGAAAGCTTTCTCTCATTTGCTTTGCACAGTGTCAGCTTCAAAAAAAGAATAAAAGATCGAACAAAAAAATTTAGCTGCTAGGCAAGGTGTTTTTTTTAATAACATATAAATGGATATACATTAAATATAGGAAACACACACACACATATTTATAGAGAGAAACCTATAGCTGTAATGTCCTGATAGATAAGTTTAAGTTTTGTCCTACTTAATTAATTAATTTATTCATTATTATTGTTCATATATGGCCGAGGCAAGGGCAACACATCCACAATCCAAAAAGAGAAAAAAAAAGAAAAAGAAAATCGAACTAATTTTAATCATACATATTAATGCTATTATTGTGTGGAATGTGAAATGTTTTGTTATTATTTGTAAGTCTGCTTTTTTCGAAACTCAGCTCAATGCGGCCCAAAATAAACTCACAACCATAAAACGAATCGAACTAAATAAAGCTTAAAAACAGTATTAAAAAAAAACAACACAAACACGAAATAGATATATGATTTCAGCTTGGAACCTTGATCGAGATCGTTGAGCTTTCCGTCCAATTTGATTGAGATTGAGAGGGATCCAGAAAGATATTAGATGCCAATTAAATTAGAATTTGATCGGATGATTTTTACCCATTTTGCTTCGCTTGAGAATCCCACACATTTTGCAGCTCGCATTTTCCTAGTTTTCCATGAATTGGTGCTTATCGAATTTATTGCCACAACTATATGTGTAGCTATATAGTTGAATAATCGCGTGTGTTGAGCGTTTCCTTGCCTCCTAGAACGTAAGCGAAGAGTTGCTAATAAAAAACCCGTAGAAAAGGAAAACAAAAGATTGCTGAATTAGTTGCAAACGAGCAAGAAAACGAAATTTTATAAAAATTACCAACTTAACCCCGACCACAAAACGAGGCCAAAATGATCGATCAGTTGGGCAAGAAGAGAGCAGGAGGAGCCAGCCAAGTAGAATGCAGCTTAGAGCAGAATGAGTGTCCGTACGAGTGTCCGTACAAGGGAGAAAGTGTTGCCCATGAGGGGTCAATGTCCGTATAAGTGTACGGACTAATGTCCACTTACGGGATCGAGTGTCCGGATGGATGTCCGTATAACAAAGAGACGGTATCCGGACAACTGTCCGCTTAAGAGAGAGACGGTGTCCGTTCAAGAGAGATGGAGAGTCCGCGTGCGTGCGATAGCGTTATATCAAAATATAAGAAAGAAAAGGAAGTCGGAGTCTCGTCTCCCGATATTTGCCGGAGTATCTGTGTATATATATTAAGGCTAATCAAGGTAAACTAGTGTTATATCGTATATGGCACCGTGCATCGTAATCTGTAGTTATAAAATATAAAAATATAGAGGCCCACACATAAGAGTGTGCGCAAATTTTTTTGCTTTTTTTTTCTCCATCGTTGTCGCGCCTAACTAGATGTAAAATAAACAAGACAAACTATCGGATAAATGGCATATATGTAATATGTATAGGAGTTTATGTGTTAGATGTACGTGTGCGCGGGGTACCACTGTACTTTCCGCTCGAATATTTCCCATCTGGTTTTTGATTCGTTTCCATTTCCGTTTCGTTGATTGGCAAACCAAAACAATTCGAAAAAGAGCAGGAGTCAGTTACCTATTAGAATTTGGCAAGCATAAAAAGCAAAACAAGAAACAAAATGAAAAAAAAACAAAAGGAAATTGCTTCAAAAGCAAACAAAAAAAATGATAAACAAATGGCACACTAAAATTAATATTATGAATTAGAGCGAACTATGAAATGGCTTGAGAACGGAGAAACCGAAATAAAATAAAGTAAAAGTAAAAAACAAAAACAAAAACAAGGATAAAACAAGAACAGCAGACGCAGCAACAAATATTTATGTGTACATAACTGAAAAACCAAGTATTTTAGGATATTTATGTTAGAGCTACACGAACTTCAACTTAAACCGAAGGAGTAACTTACAGCTAAACCTAAACTTAAACCTAAACTAACGCTAATGTCGAAGGGCGAAAAAAGAGGAGAGCGCAGGAGATGAAATACTTAGCAAATAAAGAAACAGGGAAACAATTGAGATAAATTAACATTTAAACGTTTTGCACACCACAAACAAAATAAACAAGCTAAACAACAACTAGAACAGATACAGATACAGATACACGCACACATACACACTCACACACCCATACACAGACAGAAATTCAGATACATATATACAGATGCACTCGACAACAGCAAAGCAAACAACAAAATTTAGCAACAACAAGAATTTATGAGATATAATAAACAAATAAACAAAATAATATAAACAAACCAACCAAAAGGCAGCGACGCAACAAGAAAAGTTGAAATACTTATTATAAACAAATAAAACGCAATGGAGAACAAATTATATTTATTAGACAAAATAGCAGAGAAGAGGAATCTGTAGTATATCGAACTATGTAATTCACAAATAGTAAATAAACCGAGGCAAACCAAGCAAACCTAAGGAATATTGTAGGGCAAATTCAACTAAACTAAACGAAAATCGAATTAAAAACACCCCAACTTTTTTTTGTCTGTGTAAGCTTAGTGGAGAATTCAAGGGCCGGCGGGGGGCGAAAAACCCCCTTTACAACCCCCCGCTATTGGCAATGCAAACGATAAACGATAACCCCCCATTCATCACCTAGATCCCCCTAGGCATATGCATATATCTATCGGTAAATGAACAATTATATATGGCATTATATTACCACAGCAGAACAGTAAAATAAAATGACATAAAATAAAAATAATTACGATAATTATTGCAATAATGATAATGATATACCATATATGTAATGATTTCAACGCGAAACGAGAATATTTTAAGCGTATTAAGTTGAACTATATTATATATGAAAATATATATATATAAATGGAAAAAAACAAAAAACAAAAAAATGCGACAAGCGATAAAAATAAACCAAAACAAAAAAGAAAACCACACACAACACAACTTCTGAGGATATCAAGGGTCTAAGAATAAATAAAAACTAATGAATTAATTAAAAATAAATAAATGAATATGAAAACTAAATGTGAAGCAATACCCCTGTGTTTTTATTGATTGGATTTTCAGCACTTGCTTGGGGATTCCAAATGTTATGTTATAGATTGGAATAATAGGAATTTGAGTGCAACATTAATCATTTGCAAAACGGAAAACCAATTAATGATTAATTATTACAGAAATTTGTGTGAGTTAAAGGCTTTTGGGATTTTAGGATTGGCATAACTCGTACAGAGACCTAAAAACAATAGGTTAGATACGTTCTATACATTTCTGTTTCATAATATGGATTTTTAATTAAGGGTTCTAGAGATACACAAACATCTTAAAATATACAATAAAATTTGGATTTGTTATTATAGCATTGCTAAATTAAGTCTTTCAGCCCTTAGAATGACATTATTTAAATACCCTGGAAACGTAATCAGTATAGCAGTGGGTGTCTGACAGTCGAACCGTTTTCACCCAAGGAAGTTAAGCCCCCGAAATGCATACATAATAATCATCTTAGTTGGTGTTGCTGCTGTGATGTTGCTGCTGCTGCTGTTGTTGCTGCTGCTGCTGCTGCCGTGATGTTGCTGCTGTCTTGGCCAGAGCGTTGACACACATGCATGCCAAATGAGTTTGGGGCCCGGCATTTGGCAAAAGATTTGGCCAGGCCCCCGACGCCGGAGCCAGCTGCACTAGATTTGAGTGAAATGTTGCTACTTGTGGGCTGGTTTCTGGGGGCTGTAACTGCTACTGGCAGTGGTGCCAGAGTCGGTGCCGTAGCCGGTGCATCTGCATCTGCAGCTGCAGTTAAATATTCAAATTTATACAAAGCATCTTCAGGTGCTCGTTGAGCAGTTGTGTGTTGCCTGTTTACCAACTACAAACTATGTGTCAACAGCGGCTCAGGCCGAGACAGATGAAGAAAGCATCCACTTCCTGCAGCCCCAGGACCTCCCACCTCCTCGTCACTGCTGCATTATTTATCCCCAGAAAGGGGCGGCATAGGTCGGAGGGCGGGGCACTCACCTTAGCCGGGTCGAGGCTGCTCTCCATTTTCTGCATTTCAATTACAGACTTGCCAGGCACCGGCACCCTCCGTCATCATCTGGGCATCATCAGTATGCACCTCCGCCTCAAGAGCTGTTTTCTAGCCTAGACCTGACACCCGGCCAAAAAAAGGGGGGAAAAACTCACAGAGAGATGGCGTCAAAGAAGTGTTAAAAGTCAAAGTCCCACAGCAGTTTCGATCCGGAATGTTAATATGCCAGAAACAAATAGGGAAGCCAGAAATTTGTGCGACGACTATCCTGATACCTGATATTCAAATTTAGAGTCTGCTTCTGGCGAACTCCTGAAAATCATTATTTACCCTGTTAAAACATCTATCTAGTACTCGATAGATGTATATATTCAGACACCTAAATAAGTCAGGATTTCCTTTTTAACCCCCTTAATAATGTAAAAAACATAAGCCTCAATAATCAAAAACTTTTTAGTTTATATATTGTTTTATATTAATGTCAAACTATATTTTGCTGAAAATTATTTAATGAGTTACCCGACTTAAAAAGTTGGCTCATAGTTACAATGTGTTTTGGTTCTTGAGGAAGTCGAATTAAAAAGCACTTGTAAGGTAATTAACAGAGGAAAATGAAAGTTTTAGCTTTTGACATTCCCAATAACTGGTATTTTGGATAGAATACTGTTCTAAGCCAGCAATATCCAAAATAACCCACAAAAAGTTTCTAGAAATATGGCCTTTCAGATGCAACGACTGGCTTGGACTAAACTGACTGGCATATTTATCTTCGACCCTGGATGGAATGTATCTGACAGATGCAGGTGTGTAGCTTGTTTCTAATAATACATTTGTGCAGGCATCTGGGCCTGCAATTATTATTATTCCGAGTGCCTTCTGATATTTGACATTAGTTTGTGCACTAATGAGACCCCGAACTTTGCCTTTGAACGCTGGAATTAAAGGGAGTGGTAATCGGCTTACGTAAATGTGCGTGGCAGCGGTTTAATGTAGTCGCAGGATTTACTCCAGCAGAAAGAAAAAGAAAGTCCCTAATGCCGTGAAGTGGCTCCTTAAGAAGTACAGAAAGTGGAACCAGTTCAAGTGCATTTGCCAGAAAAAATTTAATTTTGAATGATGTTTATTAGTTGACTACGTAAAATTAGCTTTGTTTATGTCTCAGTATTTAAACTGAAAGTAATAACTAACCAATTAAAATAATTTTGTGAGGAATTCTAGTTTTTCTTCAGACTATACGCTTTGTAATAAAGCAGCATTGGAAAAATAAATTGAAATGTTCAAATATATATTCTTTTGCAAACTATTTTCACCTTCGTAATTAGACAGCCTTTTATTTATTAATCGAAGCCAATGCATTTTGTGCAGGAATTCATTTGTTTGCAATTATTTGTTATACATTTTGGTAAAACAAAAAATAACTCAAGCAATGTCAATTGATGTGCATGCCTTGCAATGCAAATATGAAATATTTGTGTTTTGCTTTAATTCTTTTTGTGAAATAATTGAAGAAAGGCAATCGAATGTATGACATATTTTCTTTGAATTTTCTTCAACAAAGCGACTGGGAGACAAAGAGACAAGTGTGGGCTATTGTTTTACACTGTATTTTTATCTCTTACTAATTGTCGGTGTGTGTGCTGTGCTGTGCGTGTATGTGTGTGTGTGTGTGTGGAGGTATTTCACAGCAATGAGCACGAAAATGGGGACTGGCATTTAAAAGCCAAGGAATTCGCATGCGAGTGAAGGGAAACAAAGGGAAAATGTCAACTATTTTGCGAGTCGCCTTTGATGCTTCAGCGGGACATCAAAAAGATGCAATGTCAACACACACGCACACACACACAATATGTGCTGGCCACATTATTAACTCGGCAGAATGAACTCCTGGGCGTGTCCAGGATAAGGGCGGAGTGGGGAAACCATGCGACAGACTCATGAGCCATGGCAAACTTTAGCATATTTGTTAAATACTTTAATTAATAATTTAGAGCATGAGCAGGGTGGTCGGAAGCCCTTAGTACAAACAGCGGAGCTTGGAAAGGGGGAACCCATAGCCCAGAACCCAGAACCCAGAGCCCAAAACCCAGAAGTTGAGCAAACAACTAACAAAAGATCAAGGATTATGCGTGCTCAGTCCATGGGCATGTGTGTGTGTTAGTGTATTTTCCGGATGCGGTGTGTGAGAGGGGGAAAAGCGCTCCTAGGACTCCGGCCTGTAATAAAAGGAAAACAAAGAAGATTAGACTAAACGGAGCGGAGGCCAAGAAGAAGCCGGCTTGATGAGTTTAATTATTTGAATGCTTCAGCTCACACACTCACACACACACACACAAAGTGGTCGTGGGTAGGGGGTGGTGGGGGTGTTAAAGAGAGGCCGAAAAGGGGCGGGGGAAAAGCCAAGGGCGCGCCAGGCAAACAAAAGGCAGATGCTTTTGTCACATGCACACGACCTCAACTTTTCCAAGGCCCAGATTCCAGAGAGCGGCCCCGCAGCCACCCAACCACCCACCTACCATCCTCACCTATTCAGGAAAAGCATAAGCCCCCCTCCCCCCTACTCACAAACACACACGAACACAGTTGGGCAGAATCCTTTCGAGACCAAGAATCCAAGGCTGCCGAGAATGCAGGCTTCAAATCTGGTCAAAGAGTTGTCCTCTCTTGAAGAAAGCCGCAAAGATTCCACGCAGAAAATATGAAGTAAACACAGAAAGAAGAAAAATTAACAACACACCCAAAGGTTACAAAAAAAGACAAGGAAAATAACCAAACCTTAGCGAAATAAAATAGCTAAACAAGAAAACGACAATAATAAGTAGATTCATACATATTAAAAATTACTTTTGTAACTAACTTTCCTTAACTTAATTAAATATTATTCATTGTTCTTTAAATATTATTAAAAAATAATTCTATTTTATAAACCTACTTTTCAATAAATATGTTAAATATATTATTCCAATGAGCATATGTTGAAGACCTTTATAAATTCCATAGCCACAATATCGCCCCTTTTCCCTGGCCTGCCCAACATCTTGGTAATGCGCCGCCCATGCGTATACTTAATAAAATAATAGAACCTCTTAGCTAACAGCCACTGTAATTGGAAAAAGAAATTAAATTTCACAAAGAAAGCCAAAGAATACAAGTAAAAGCATTATCCCTTTTTTTCCGGTCGATCAAGCCAGGTTGTTCGAGATCGAAAGCGGTTTAAAGTGCAGCCTCAATTAGCGTTCGCCTGTCGGACGCTTCTGACCAGGTCTGGTAATGGATGGAATGGACCAGGACCTCCGCTCCGCCACTTCTTTATCCCCGCGCCACCCCCGCACTCGCCGTCCCACGGGGGAGTGCATTCAAAGTGATGCTCTGTTCTGTTTTCAATTTGGTTACATTCTCCATTTACACGGCAGCCCCTTTTTCGGTGGGGGTGAGTCTTACCCTGGCAGGACCTGCAGTCCTTTCTGCCCCTCCACCCCCCACTCCCCTTTCCCCTTCCGCTGGCCACCACTCTATTCAAATGAATCCCCATTTGGCTTCCACTTGACAATGGCAGCGTGCCCCTTTCTCCTTTCTCCTTTCTCCGAGGAGTGTGTGTGTGTGAGTCAGTGAACTTAATTTGGTCACACACAATTGATTCTTTTTACAGGTGCTGGCAACCGGGCCACCACCCACAGAGAGACAGACACACACACACAAACAGACTGCCATTGTTGCAGCTACACAGAGAGAAAATAAATCCCTTTGATTTGAAAGACTTTCAATATGTGGCTTGGCGAAGCATCTTCTATGTTTAAATGTTTTTAAATATAAAATCATATTTTTTCACACCTTTCTTTGATATCTATGATTATGATTAACATATATTTTAATTTTTTAACCATCTGTACCATGCCTTAATCGATTCGTTATATTGACATTGAATATATTACTTTTTTTTAGCCTTAACATATTCTTATATATAGTTTTATTGAGTTTTAAATAATATTTAGTGCAAAAGAGTATGTTAA